TTATACCGCAGTGCATTCAAGAGAGCAGCGATCACGTCATTTGTTGCTGCTTTTTCACCCATCTTCCCAAGAGCTTCACCTGCTTTCTCTTTGACTTGCGAATCTTCATCGTGTAGTGCAACGGCAATTGCGAAAAGAAACTCTGGTGTAGGCTCCGATATTGCTGATTCTGATATAATGCAGAGTGTTTTCTGCCTTGTAGCTGCTTGGGGACTTGCCATAAGTTCGAGTAGTGTTTTTTGCATGATAGATGTATTCAATATATAAGTTGTGCGTGTGATGGATCGTAAGAGCTTTTCGGTGATTATGGATGGCTTTGCTTGGACGCACACATATAAGCACAGGGATATAGATCTTAGCAACGATACGCGTTTAGGAAAGAGATGAGATGCGATCTCATCGATACATTCAATGATAAGTTTGATGTGTCTTAAGCCGACGAGATCTAAGGGCTCTCCCTGGATAGTTGACCAAAATACCTCCATCCACTCTGCATAGTTAGATTGTGCCATTAGACCTGATGCAAAAATAAACACTAAGAGAAAACGTTGATTGTACTTGTTATTTCTTATAAAATCAATTGCTTTTCGTTTGTTAGAACTCTTGAGCGTTTGAACCAAGTGACGTGCAGCAAAATGTTCTTGAAAGCTGATATGAACAAAATAATGTTGCTTTTTGGTTTGATTTCGATCACCAATAGATTTATCATCGTATGATGTGAGAACGCCCATATTCAATAATTGTGGATGACTATCTAAGAAACATTCTGTTTCATTTTCGGTCTCTTCGAGGAGCGCCGGTGGCAAAATAACTGTGTTGCATTCCATGGCTTTGAAAGCCAAGTGTTCTAAAAATTGCAACTCCGCATTGCATTTCTGATAAACAGCTCTCTTGCTTTTTTCTTCATGATTTATTTCTTGTCTTTTTAAGTGCCGTCGACATAGCCATTCTGTTATACTATCATACAATGCTGCCATTGTGAAGGTTTTCTTTCTTAACCAGTCCATATTAGCCCAAATAGAACATATCAATTCTAGATGTACGGGTATATGAGCAATACCCCAAATGCGAGGATTTGACTCAAAGAAATTCAGAAGTTTTTGGCCTTGAGCCAATGCATTTGGTATTCCATCTTTAAACTGATCGAAGAATTGGTCGACATACTTGGCAATATTATCATTTGTGAACCCAATTATTTCCATTTTCACATCATATGGTACTGCCATCGCGTGAGGACGAGACGTCAAGATATGATGCTGCGTCTCAAGAATATAGTCAAAGGCATCTTTTAATTGTTCTGGAATGTTCTGGACAAATTCATCATAGCCATCTAATATCCATAGAACTTTGCCTTTATTACACTGTTCTTTGAAGCGTCGTTTCTCTTCGTTCGATAAATCATCAAACATAAAATATTCTTCCTTTACAAGATCAACTACTGAGTAATTTTCTCTAGATGGGTAGCGACTCTCTCTCAATTTTCGTAACGGAATCAAAATAACCAGATCATATTCAGACCAAATTTCACCTTTGGCCCAACGAAAAGTAACATATTCACAAAATGTGGATTTTCCCATTCCAGCTAGTCCAAGTACCAGTACTTTCTGTGTCTGATCCTTGCATTTTTTGAAAATATTCTCGACATCAATTGTAGTCTTTGTTTCATAAATTTCTTCAAAAGTACCGAGTATGTGATCATTATGCCCTTTATCTTGTTGTTTCAGCTTTCTCTCTTTTTCTTGCTGTTCTTTTGTTTCTACCATAGCCAAATCAATGTAACTTTGTTCGATTGGAAAACGTTTGTATTCATTTACCATAAGTTTTATCTGATTATCTCGTAGATACTTATCTCGAATCATTGCAAATACTTTGAATGGCGCTGGGCTTGAATCTGTTGTGGAAACTGAAGACTGATCTTTTATTCTGTTAATAAGTTCTGTTGTTTGCAATTGAATTTTCGAGTCGGAGTCGTCTCGAAAGTCTATATAAAGGCGTCCTGCTGTTATCAATCCCAACCAGCCAGAGGGCCTCCATTTCCTATCATTTTTATCACCAATCATACATGGAATGATATGTGCTCCTCTTTTATTAGCATATTCTAATTCATGTTTGTCATTTCGTGACTCCTGATAATCTGGCGTCATAAAGCAGCAAATAACATCAGCATTTTCTATGCCTTCAGCCATGCTAACCAAATGAACATTGCAAGTTTAAGCATTAAAGAAACAAAGTCATGTGCAATTTCATACCTGTCGCTTATATTATCTCTCATACCTCCCTTTACGTCCATCCAAACTTTAATGCCAGTGTCAACTAGAATATCGTAGATTTTGGATACAAGAGCTTTGCTTTTCAAATTGTATGACAACATAACGTGTTTTCGTTCATCGAATGCCATTGATATGAGCACGATAGAGATAGATTATTAAAATTCAGTATTAATAAGTTTCTAAAAAATAGTGACCAATTGTTGTCAATAGTAGAAATGTCACTTGAGCTTTAAAAATACTTCGATAAAGTATTTAAAATAAGCATACTTTAAAATTTAAGTTAGAAAAAACAAAGTTAAAGTAAAGAATTATTTGCCAAAATGCGAGCGTTTTTTTAATAAAAATTTATCAAAACTTGCTAGATAGAGGAATCTAAATGTGCAATCGGATGCTCAAAATTTCAAGTTTAATTATTTGACGGAAAGCAGTTTTGATAATGAAAAAGCAATTATTTTGCTTGAAATTTTTATGAAAAGCTTTTTGGCCGCAAAATCAAACTCGATATTTCATGAAACTAATACCAAATTCAGATGGTTCGATCTCAAAAAGCTTTGGTTAAATTTAATAAAATATCGTTATTGTCAAAGAATAGCGGTTTTTCACTGAAAAAATCAAGCTCATCATTTCAAAAAGCTAATTATAGATGAAAGAGAAAAGCTGATTGAAATGAAAGTAATTATTAGCAACCTTTGAGTGCGTGTGCTCTATGTGCATGTGGGTGACTGAAATATATGAAGTTACAAACATAACCACAACTATACCCACACGCTCTGGTTGATCGAAACGTAAAAAGTCTCGGCCAATCTGATTTTAGCACGGTTCGTCTCGTCCTCTAGTGAAAATTTTTGATGCTTCTGTCCCATATCCTTAACGGATCCAGTCAGGATCCTTCAAAGATTCTTTCTTTTTTCCTTAGGAACAACTAGATTCTGAAGAAAGCGCGTAGCCACAAAATTTTAGGATTCAGTTAAGATCATAAACAAATCACCGCTTTTTTTGGATCACGATCCATCAGGAGAGGTCGTATGAAGTGAACCAAAGTTAGCGTCAGCCACACTGGAATCCATAATCCACAGTCTACAATTTTTTAAATATATAACCTCTCAGATTATCAACAAGTGCCGCCGATCGTTGCAGGTGTTTCAAAGAAGTTTCAGATTGTTTTCTCGACCTTTCTCAGCATCACGAAGTGGTGGTGTTCGTAATATTTTACAGGCTACGAAAGAATATCCTTTGTAATTTTCTAAGACCTACCGAGGGTATTCTTCATAACATTTTAAGGGCCATTCAGGAGTACCCTCACTAACTTTTACAGGTCTCTCCCAGATTAGGAGCCGAAGTTTCTTATGGAGTACACTGTAGTGGTCTTTGCAACTGTCAACAAACTGTGTATACGTGACGTTGAGTAGTTTTACTATCGTTTAACTTGTGCATGTCCATGATTACGGTAACATTTGCATAATCTTTTTCGAAGTGTCTGACATATGACTAGACTCTGTCGGGTCTAAAAATTTCTGGTTCTGAATCCGGATCCGAACTCGGCTAGTTAAAATATTTTGCACCCATACTCGATCCTGGCCCAATCGGTTAAATTTTTCTAAATACCCTCGAACTCGAACTCCAACTTCATTAGCAAAAGTTTCTAAAATTGAACCCGGATCCGGACCAGGTGAACACAAAATTTTCAGACCTGGACCCGACTGATTCTACGTATGACTGTAAGTTTAGTTTGCGTAGAAACGTTATTAAAATTAGGGATGCAACGATAGCGATGCACCACCGGTCCATTATTCATCGATGCACTACCCCTACGATGCCCTTACATCACCGGTGCACCGGTAAATAAATATTGTCCTATATTGGTGCATTGTACAATAAGTATGTACCAAATCCAAGAATTGGATGTGACTGAAGTTAAATTTGGATTTGACCAGATGTGACTAGAGGTCATTGCACCTAGGCGACGACTGCTTCCAGCAGAACGTTGCTTTATTGATCTCATTGGTTTCGCTAATTCTACTACAGTAGGCAGACCTAACAAAGTTAGGATGAAACTCAAACTTTCAGCTCATGCAGATGAGCCATCCTTGACATATAGTCACTCCAAACATAGAGAAGAGGGAGTCAGGTATATTTAAAGTGCTTCTTAGTGTAGTAGTTTCCAGTAAATTGCCATTTCCTAAATAACGACAAGAGTTATAAAACTTATCTATCTTTATCATAGATACTATCAATGATGGGCTACCTTTTGATGGTATCGAAAGCACATTATCTCAGAATTTTCATTAGGTGGTATTATATACCATTTTCACAGAGCATGTCTATATAAATAGGACAAGTTGGTCGAATTAGTGTGATGGATCAACTTGAAAATAGTCTCATTTGAAAGAGTACCCCAAACTATGTCGAATGGCATTATCAAGACTTTATGATGTTGTATTTTGATTCAAAAAATGTTCCAAAATTATGTATTTTTTTTAACCAAAAATCTCTAACTGAAAAAAGTAATTATCCCTCATATTTTTAATATTTTACTACTAAAAATTTCCGTTTTCGGAAAAATAATTATACGTTCTAACAGTGCATAAAATTCTCTACCATTCTATGTAAAAACAGCTTGAACTGCAGTTGTTCGCTAAAAGCGATTTTAAGCACAGTAAGGGCGCTCTTATTGTCAGATTGTCTAAGTTGCATTTTTCGTTCAGTTTCTCCAAATTATTTTATTTATGAAAACTGGTTGATGCAAAAAAGGTTATATATTCTGATAGCCTGTGAAATGCTGCATCTTTCAATGCACTATTCGAAAAGCAAAAGTGCGTGTACGAGTATTTAGTAAGGATCACATTTAGTGCGTCAAGTGACAAAACTATACGAAACTGTTCATACCGAGCTGTTTTTATCATTATAGCCAAACCCGATAACAAAACAAATGCGTATTCGAAATCAACGCGAAAAACTGCATCGGATCCAATAGTTTTGAGCAAAACAATTTTTCTACGAAAAATTGGCCTGTAGTCCATCCCAGCATCTTTTCTTTCCAAAATTTTACTATGGTCTCCTTGAGGTGAATTTTTATTAAAAAACTTGTTGTGCCAAAAAATATCTGATGCACATAGTTTTTGGTGCTGATTGTGAATATGCTGCTTGTATTCTTCTCAGATTGAGCTATCATGACAAAAACAGTTCAGTGCAAACAGTTCCGTATGATTTTGTCACTAGGTGCACCTATTGTGATCTCTACTAAATACTCGTGCACACTTTTCTGCTCTGCAAATAGTACATTATACGATGCAGAATTTGATGCGCTATTAGAATATATGCTTACTTTGGCAATAATTCATGTTTGTAGTGTAAAAATGAATAGAAAAAGGACAGAAAAAACTAGTAATAAGAGTACACTCTAAAAAAAAGGATTAATACTGAACTTTATAAGTTCCGTCTTTTCATACCGAACGCTTTTAGGTTCGGTGAACTGAAAATCGTTTCGAGACTTTCGTTCAGAACTATTTTAAGTTCCGCAGATTTCACAGGGTTTCGCAAGTCTTCAACGAAACCCAATGTAGGTTTCGTAAATTTTATACGAAACAATTGATAGTTTCGTAGGTCATCTAATGGTTTAGTATATTTTACACTAAACAGTCTATAGTTTGATAGACCGTCGAAAGGTTTCGTATATTTCACACGGAACGGTCGGTATCTTTGTAGGGCATCAGAAGGTTCCGTCTATTTTGCACTGAACAGTCGATAGTTTCGTAGGTCATGTACAAGTTTAGTATATTGTATACAGAACCATCGATAGTTTCGTAGGTCATCTAAAGGTTTAGTATATTTTATAGTGAACGGTTGATAGTTTGGTAGGTCATCTAAAGATTTAGTATATTTTACACTAAACGGTCGATAGTTTGGTAGGCCGTCAAAAGGTTCCGTATATTTCACACGGAACGGTCGGTAGTTTCGCAGAATAATCTAAGGTTTCGCGATTTTAGTATGAAACTCTTTACCGTTACTTTAAGTGCTAATAGGTTCCGTATGCTTCGTGCGAAGCCACAATCTAAGAACATAGGTTTATTACCGAACTCTAAAAGTTTCGTATCTTTGCTCCGAACGATTTAAAATTAAGCGAAATCAAAAGCATTTCGCCCTTTTCGTACGGAACTTCTTTTAAGCTCAGCAGAATTCATAGGGTTTCGCAATTTTCGCGCGGAACCGTCTGTGGTTTTCGTAGATCCGCTCGTGATTTCGCATATCATGAACTAAGCATTTGATGGTTTCGTACATTACGAGCTAAACCATTCATGCCTTTGCAGAGTTTCGGAAGGTTTCGCAATATGTTGACGGAACCCTTCTTAGTTTCATTCTCAATGTAAAGGCTCCGTCTTTTCTCTGCAAAACCATCAATAGTTCGGTACAGTATCGAAGAGTTTTATACTATTTATACATAAATATTCGTCACTCTATTGGATATTTAACAGTTTCGTATACTTTACACGAATTTCTTGATAGTTTCGTAGTCTGTTGTAAGGTTTCGCAGTTTCCTTGTAAAACCTTGAATGATTTCACTAAATGCTAATGAGTTCCGTGTACTTCGTACGAAGTCATGTATATTTCTGTACACTTATAAGCTTTTAATTTTTCCCCTAACTGTGAATGGTCCACCGTTAGCTCCAGTGCTTAACCTAATTGAAAACCTTTTCTTTTCAGTAGTATAATCGAAAACCGTCAGAACTTATTACCAAGAATCAAAATAATGAGAAAGGGATCAAGAGCAAATGTATATGCATCCTTCCCCGGAACGGATCAGCGTCGAATAATTAAAGCGTCAGACGATCAGAATAAAGATAGGAAAAGGATGAAATTCACTTAGCATATCGAAAAAATAATTAATACAGTATGGGGAGCAGAAATATAATAATATC